GGGCCGTTTCTTCGGTGACTACAAAAAGCCGGAGAACAGCGAAGACGGAGACACTCGGCATCAAACGCTTTACAACCAAATGCTTTCCAAACGCAAAGTGATTGCAGTCTTAGGCCAGAGAGCCATCAGACAAAATGATGACAACTCGTTGATAGTGTTGTTTCAATTTGATCACCAAATCAAGTATTGTTACGCAGATCTCAGTCCCGACAAAATGCCAGAAATGGTCAGTCATTTACAAATTTAATTTATTTAAATCCTAATTATTAGCGAATTTATATCTCAATTGATGTGTGAATTGTGTGTTTAGTGCGAAAACAAGAATCTCAAGACATTGATTGAATGCACTCCGCGGCCGACTCCGACTCCTACTCCCAGTGCCAGCGATTTGTCGTCGATTTGGATTATATTAATAATACTGATTGTGATCGTAATGGCTATCGTTGTGGTGATCGCTGTTGTCTACGATCGCTGCCGAAAGTCTAAAGGAATTGATTGTATGAATGAAATTGAATGAAATTTAAATAATAAATCTATACTTTCTATATAACTTATAATATTTAGCCGTTTCTGTGGCGAGTAATGCGTCGGCAGTCAGTGTCGCCCATAGATCTGGTATTCATTATATAGTTTTCAAAAATAATACACAATTATTACAATAATTATATTAATTGTAAAATTTGTATTCTTTAGAACTCAAGAGTAAGAGTGTTGTCCAAAAGCCGTCGCCTCAAAAGCCAAAGTCTCCTAAAAAATCATAATCTCATGAATTTTTAGCAAATTTTTTTTTTGTATTTTGACTTTTACCCACATTTTTAGAAAATCTTATTTATTTTTATTATTTGTTTTATTCATTTATTACAATTGAAATTTACTTTATGTTTAGTTAGTTTTGTTATTTAAATTTTATAATAAATTTTGTTTTGTTATATGGTTTTAATATTTTGTTTATTCAAATTAAAATCTTTAAAATTTATTTTATTGACTGTTTTGATACGTTTTGATCAAATTGTGTAATTTAGATATTAATTACTTGAAATATTCATAAACAATTGCCACATAATTGACTACGATATTACAAATTGTCTAATTTACAAATAATTGTAAAATAAAACCAAAATATATACAGAATTTCAATTTATAACCTAATAAAAGTTTAATGAATACAAATTCAAGATAAACAATCATTAATTGTGTTAGTTTTATTGGTTATAATTAAAATTTAATATATAAAACATTCCTATAAATTTAATAAATGACTAAAAAATAATTTATAGATGATTTGCAATGAAAAATAAAATTATCAAAAATTACACCACAATTACGAGGCATCAGATTATTTGTTAGATCGCATCGGCTTTGGCTCAACACTGGTCGACGTTATCGGCGCTATATTTGTATACATTTGATAAGAAAATTAATATTTTATTTGCTATTTTAATAAATGATAAATTTGTATAAAATACCCGATCGTTGGGCGGCTGTAATAGACTTTGGTTTGTTTTCTTCAATTTCTACAAAATATAATAAATATAAATTTTTAAATATTTAAAATTAAGTGATTTTTGTTATTTCGCACCGATTTGTGTGGTTTTCCTGTTCTGAAACATATGAGAGACGATACCAATGATGACAGCAATGGTTATAACGATAAGAATAATAAGTAATATTAATATCAAATACCAAGAGTTGGAATTGCAGTCAATCAATGTCTTTAGATTCTCGGGTCGACACTAAACACACAATTCATGCGTGAATTTAGAAATCAGTTTTAATTATTTGAAAAACTACTCACCATTTCTGGCATTTTGTGGTCGTCTTGACTGAGATTTGCGTAACAATACTTGATTTGGTGATCAAATTGAAACAACACTATCACCGAGTCGTCATATTTTTGTCCGACCACTCCCTGGCCTAAGACTGCAATCACAGTGCGATTGGAAAGCATTTGGTTGTAAAGCGTTTGATGCCGAGTGTCTCCGTCTTCGTTGTTCTCCGGCTTTTTGTAGTCACCGAAGAAACGGCCCGTAATCTGAAACCCGTCCCATAGGAGCACATGTCTGAGATGTATATAATCGGGTTTAGTCTTCTCGTAGTTCATAACCCAAGCCATAGTCGCTGTCATATCGTAGGGAACAGTCGTTTTGTTCAATCGTTTGATAATTTTAAGATCTTTGTTAAGAAGAGCCCATTCGATGTCTTTACTGCCCGTCTTTTTGTGGATTGAAATTAATATATCAATCAATCATTTGCTTCTGAAACTAATATAATTTATACCTTCATGAGTCCAGTAATGCCGTGATCTCCCGGTGCTTCAGAGCTTTCGTGACCATTAAATAAGAGACAAATAGCCATTGAATAGTCTGCTCCAAACCAATCGCTGTGTCCGCTATTCTGGTCATCGATGGACACTGTCTTGATTGTGTCGTTCGCGCTGTCCGTGTGTTTCAATGACCACAAGTCGTGTCCAATCACTACATATTGTCGATAAGCGTCCGCTTCTGACACCATATGTCTGTAACCGTAAGATATCTTGTAATTATTTTCAGCGAATTTATCACAAAATTTCAATCCATTTCCCAATTGAATGAAAACCACAACTAAAAGTGTTAACAAATAAAACATATTGGGATTCAATTTATAAAAACAGTTATGGTTTGAATGAATATTTAGACAAATTCCCAGAATAAATGAATTTATGATTTAAAAATTAAATCAAAGTCTCGATATAGTGTTGTAATCGAGACAATAACTATTAAATATTTACTACAAATTAATTGTTATTTCATGAACCAATAATTCTGTGAATGAAACGGTAATTTATTACAAAATTTAATGTTTCATTCATTGAGAAATTATACCAATCAATACTTTAAACATTTAAAATAACAGTTATATAAAATTTACATATTGTTTAAAACGTTAATAATTAAAAGTCAAATCAATTTCTTTAAACTGAGGATTAGGTACACAATTATAATTTCAATAGTTTACAAAATCCAATGCATATTACAGTAAATGAAAAGCTCGCAGCGCATGTAAATAACACGTTATAATTTATTTAATTAATTGTACCAATTGTTTTTAATCATGGTATAATATAGTGGTATTACAAATATATCATTACTTAATTAGCATTAGTGATGAGGACATCGAGTGTTGCATTCAATAACACATTCGCCAGAATTAACACAAATATATTGCTTGAAAATTGAAATACAATTATTTAATTTGTTTAAATTATCTCTCATTGTATTTCATTGTTATGTTTTGTTTAACATAAGAGCGATATTAACGTTGAATATAATTATAATTTTTCTCATCATTTGAAATGCAATTGAATTTAGTGTTCATAATTACCACAATCTATAAGTTTATACCAATTAATTGCAAACCATTTAAAGATAGAAATGTGAAATCAATTGATTACTATTTCTATCAATTGAATGGAGTTTTCAATTCAAAAGACTTATCGTTTTATTTGGATAGAGAAAAGATTAAATATATTTTACTTATTTTATCGTTAATTGTGTTAATAATAATGAGTATATTCTCGTGTTTTATCTGTTATTATATCTATTTTAAACGACAATCAAATAACACATCAAAAGTGGTCACTCTATCGGATGCAAGAGATCGACACTCGAGGGCTACTCACAAATGAATGTCACACTCGGGTTTCTATAGTAAACAATTTGCTAATAACTTAAGTTACAATTTATGGTATATTTATATTGATTCTGTATTTTAAGGATAAAAGCGATAAAATGTGTCAAAACAGGAATGAAATACACAAAACCCAAACATATCTTCAAATGAAAAACATTAATAGAGAATAAATAATAAATAATTGAATCCAAATTATCTGATGTAAAAACTCATTAAAACATTTATTTAAAAAAGTTTGTTTAAGTTTTACGGTTAGAGTAATGTCAGACACTTTAATTTGCTACATTTCCATATATTTTTCTTATAATTTATCAATAATTTAACAAATCAACTTAATTGGATTTATTAAATACGCGTAAAGTCATTGTAAGTACTAAAATCCATTTACCATAATACATACCCAAAAGTAACACACATTTAACAATATTCCAGTTTCAATTTATTAAGCTTTTATTAAAATAACATCTAAATTTATGTATCACGTGATTGTTTTAAATTATTTTTAAATAAATGCATAAAACGCTAATTTAAATCTCAAACGTTTTTAAAAATACTACAATCGATGTATAACTGAATGCTTTACGCAAACCATTACTGAAAAACAAAATCAAATAAGATTTTCATTAAAACCAATGAAAGACATGATTACAAAACTTATTGTCTTAAGTGTTGTGATCACCGGCGGAATCAATGATGACAACATTGAGCCTAAGTTTTGCAGCACCAAAGTGTTTGACGCCGTTTTCAACGATAATAACAATCAGATCCGGTTTATACGCGGCGATTGGGTTTGGACTTACAATCCCGACGAGAACCACATCCACCCACCCATCAGACAGGACACCAACGATACCCATCGGCTCCAGAGTATGGCATACATATCGAAAGTTCCCGATTGTGACGCTCAGAGTGAGCCCTATTGCGATAGCGTTCAAAACGCCGCCCAATTGATCATAATGTGGCACAAGACTAAGGACATGGACTTTGACGGCGACTATCAGGTGAACCGTTTGGTCGACGGGACTGTACAACGAGTGGACAATACATCGCGACTTCCGTTTGGTATTAAAACAGGCGGTAATATCTTCTCAACAGACGAGACATTTTGGCCAAAATTATTGTCTCGAAACTCGAAAGATCTAAACAAAAACCACGCGTTTATAGCCTATAATGCGGTCAACTATGAGCTGATCGTATTGATCAACGGTATGGCCGGCGCTCACATCTGCTTCAATGTGTTGGCGGCTGTCAGGGAGTGGTCTATGGGCTGGCAGTGCTCTTCAGTCAACTCCCATTACTTGTATTTAGGCATCTTCTCAATCGGACAGACGGTCTACGCGATGGCAAAGAGTGGTAATAGTGATGACAATAATAAACTGTTTACTTATATGGGACATGAATTGCGCGACTCAAACACCAATATCCAGTCATATATGAGTTGTCGGGAGTACTTCAGCGCACCGGGCGATCCAGATGTGCCGGTCGTTGACAGCGATCAGCCAATTGCCGGCCCGAGTCGGGTAAAGGCGGCCAAAGCAGAGGGCAATCCGCGGGTTTGGTTACTATTGGGTGTGGGGTGTGTTGTGGTGCTGTTGTTGGTGTGCATTGTGCTCGTCATCACTGGTATAACTCTACCCAAAGTGGAGACACCGAAGATTCAAATGAAACAGCCGTCCGCTGAGGAGGCGGTCGACTGGAAATTGAAGTATAGCTCAGAGGAGGACATGACAGGCAATAAGAACCCAAATAATCTCAAATGTCCATCATCAGCCATTCTTTAACATACTTTTTATATTCAATCACTTTTATGATAGATTTTATTCTTAAATGTATTTTTGATTTGTTTTCAAATGTTTTATATAATAATCTCAATTATATTGTACTCTATATAATCAATAGTTATCTGTTTTATAAATAAATTTCTTAATTCTAAACTTGAAATAATCTCTTGTTTTGTACTAAAAATATATCAATATTAAATTATCATTTTAAAAATGTTAATACTTATTTTTAATTTCATTTTTAGTAATAATAAAATAATTATCTAAAATCTAACGAGTAAGATTAAGTTTTAAAATATTTGCATAATTCATTAGTAAATTCCTGCAATGTTTAAAGATTTTTAAAAAGTAGCATAGTCAATATCTGTGTTATACTATTTTTAAACGTAATATTCATGTACTATATAAATATAATTTGATAAACAATTCACCAACCTTATTTACACTATAATATCCGTTAATTTTAATTTTGTTTTCATTGCAATCGCAGAAATATTTAAACCTATTTTAAACTTATAGAAGTTTAAACTCATTTAAACATATAATTATTGGTGTACTTGTTTCACAGAAGCACACAAAACAAACTTGTGATGTTTGAACGATCACAATCTATGTAATTTTATTTTATTTGTTAGTTCATTTACTATTAAAATAGTATTAAATTGATTTGACATCAAATATTTGCAGATTTACCAAATATGATATGAACTGAAAACATGGATTGATAGGACAGTACAATGGATTTCAATATGAATAACATGTTAGGACTTGTGTTACAGATATCACAGAATTGGCTAATTATCGATGAATACCTTTTAATTGAAACAAAATTGTCATTTTGATCAGGACTTTAGTCCTTATAATCAAGACCTCCACTCATTAGTCGTATTGTACTTTGTATTAGTTGTACGATAAGTGTATTGATTTACTGCTAATATTTATTCATTAATCGATTAAATTATTTTAGTTTTAATAATATTTTTATTGATAAATATATGTGACTTTTACCCCATAGTATTAATAGTATTAACTTAATACCGTGATTTAAATTCCAATCTGTGCTAACTTATTGTGTAAATATCTTTGTCTATAGGAATCAACAAAATATTATTTTCATTAACATTAACTATTGATTGTTTTTAAAATATTTTATTCTATTTAATATTTTTATTACAGTATATTTGAAATTAATCATGATTTAAAAATTTGCATTTCAATTATCCTATTTCATCTATCCTAGCATCCTGGCATAACATTCTTAAAATTTTATATTGCTCAATTTACATATTGCCAATATACTGAAGTACGTTAACATGTAATAGCAGATTTTAAATTATATAATGTATACCAAATAATAATTAGGTCATAAATTAATGCAAATTGTATAATTGTTGTTTGCATTTAATGAAATAGATTGCAATTTAACACTTTTGTTTAATCAGTGAAAGTGTATTAACGGATACTCGGATATCAATAACTCGTGTTTACTCGTATTTACTTATGCCAATATTGGTGCTAATTGTGATTAAATAAATACAATGTCATTGTTTATCCAAATCTAAAATAACATTCAAAGCAATTTTGCTCTCAATTTGTTTTCTAAGAAATGATAAAATAATTAGTTTTCAAATATAATAATTGTTTGAAAATAAGCAATATTTGTAATCATAACCAAAAATGTTTATAAAGTGGTAAAAATTTAAAGCACCTGTTGTTATGGCACCTGTCACAATGAATGGGTTATAATTAGTTTTCAAATATAATAATTGTTTGAAAATAAGCAATATTTGTAATCATAACCAAAAATGTTTATAAAGTGGTAAAAATTTAAAGCACCTGTTGTTATGGCACCTGTCACAATGAATGGGTTAGCTAATAGACTATAACTTATAGTTTTCCACTTATGGTCCGTTCACACCATTTACTCGTTCACACATTTGTTTATTAAAGAAATGCAAACAAACTAGTTAAATTTTTATCTCTATTATATCTAGATAACATGCTTTTATTGTGCAAATTATGAATTGATAAAAATGTAATTTTACCATCTTTTTCTGTTATAAAATAATTGCAAAATAAAAATTTATTAAAATAAGTTTTTTCTTAACAATGCAATTCATTATAATTAAACTAACTTGGTCAGTTATTAAATAAATATGTTCAAAATAAAATTAAAGCTGTTTATAGTAATTTATTAAATATTTATATTTTTATTTAAAAAAATAAAATTTACATTTACTTATTTTTAATAAAATATTTTTTACTTTTCCTAAATTTAGAGCAAATCTTAATCTAATCATTTAATTATGCAATTCATTCCCATTTATAACTATACTGTCATATAAATTAATGTGTGATTAATTTTATCGTTAATTATAAACAATAAATATTTAAGTAAATGATAAATATCTGTCATTCGGTGATTCAGTGGTTCTCATAATTAGACATTAATTAATTGTATTTTAATGACAATAAGTAGATGACCATGGTGCGCAAATTGTATATTTATATTTTGATTTATTAAGTTAATTATAATATTTTTCCAAATTATAGTCTGTATCAACAATAAAATAATTGTCCAGATGAATTTGTATTAAATTAGATATAAAAAACAAAAGTTATTTTAACAAATTCTTTAAGTTATTCACTAGTATTTTATAAATAAGTACAGAATAATGTACTTAATAATAATTCCACTTTTGTTTAATATTACTGCACATAAAATTACAATAATGTATGGATTGTATGGTTTTGTAAGAAATTGTCCTCAATATCAGATGGTGTCACAGATTTTTGATTAATTATTAATTCATTACAAATTGTATGACATCCTTGAAATTTCATTTAAGTATCAACATTTCATATTAATTAGTCTCTCTCTCTCTCTCTCTCTCTCTCTCTCTCTCTCTCTAAATAGTAAATCAGTGAATGTGTTAATACAATTAAATTCACACTTTCATACCTGTATTTAAAACAAATACATTCACTACAAAAGTAATTACTATTTTATCAGCCGATAATAGGTTTCATAACATAAGCCCTAATATAAATTTTATAACACATTCGCGTTTAGGACTTCAGTTATAATGAATACCTAAACGATTAGATAATGAATTGAATTGTGATTTGTTATTTCCAATTGTATTCAACGATCATTAGTACCAAATAAGCGTTCACTCCCTCACGGCTGGTGTCATCGATGGTAACAAAAACATTATGATAATAATCTACAAATGCTTTTGACATTTATATAATCATTGAATATAAAATACACGGACGGAGTGAGTGAATGCTCAGACACACTTTATATAGTTTATAGCCAACAATCATTTATTTTAGCTATCTGCTAAAAGATTTTTAAGTTTTATTTGTGAAAAGTTGTAAAATTATGGTACAATTGCTGTTAAAATACAACCATAAAGTGCTTATTGAGTTTTGTCTGTAATTCAATTAAACTTCTCATTCATACATTTTTTATGATTACAAATTTGTGTTTTACTAAATTTAATTTATTATTGGAGTAATAAATAAATGGAGGATAGAGTAAGTTTCTCACTATACAATAGCATAACTATTAATAACAAAAAAAGTGTTTAGAAAATTTTTAAATACAATATTAAAAATTACAACTTTGTAAACACATTAATAGAAAGGGAGAACTAATTCCTATTCTGTGAATTCATCGAATGGATCGGAGAGTGGACTGACTGCTGACAATAGCCTAGTTCACCATGGTACACTTACCGTACTCACCGGCACTGTATTTATTATTGGTGAAGTAGCCGGAGGTATGCATATATAATGGTTTTAAATTTAAAATAAATTTTCTATAATTAAATTTTTAATAAATGTTTATGTAAATATTTAGGAGGTATATTATCATTACCACACGCGGTGGCTGAAGCTGGTATGCAAATGCACCTTGTTGCATTATATTTATTACAAAATTATTTGTCAATCAAAAGTTCTTTGTCAATCACAATTATAAATTGTATCCAGGTTGGTTAGGTCTGCCATTAATAGCGCTGTGTTGTGCAAACGCTGGTCTCGCGGGTATATGTTTAGCTAAATCATGGCTCATATTGGAGGAGAGATATCCGGAATACAGAGTTGGCTTAACTCGCAAACCATTTTCAACAATAGGCTACAAAGCATATGGAACTTGGGCAAGGTACATGCCAGTGCCCATATTATTTAACCATTATCATCTTATCTAACATGATAATTGTTTGTGTTTAGTGTGGCCGTATCATTAGCGATGAACCTGACCCGATTTGGCACGAGTGCCGCATTCCTGTTAATAGTGTCTGAGCTGTTACAGGGAGTGATGGCCGGCCTAAACGCTGGCAAAGCCATGAATGTGGGAATCTGTTCGTGGGTTCCCGTTGTGGGCATAACCCTAACGCCGTTCATGTGGTTGGGATCGCCGGCCGACTTCTGGCCCGCGGCCTACACCGCGATGTTGTCCACTATTTTGGGCAGTATTTTGCTGCTAATCAGTCTCGTGAATGAGGCCAAGAAAAAGGTGACGGAAACCGTGTATCTGATGCCGACGTTTGAAAACTTTTTCAAAGCCTACGGAAATATCCTCTTCGCCTTCGGAGGTAAGCAATGAAATATTTGTATTATCAAAAATCAATGTATTTTATATGTACTTATCATACATTATCACAATTCGCATAACGTGTGGCCAAACGTCAGGCGCGAGCGCTTTCCCTAACTTTCAAAACGATATGAAAGAGAAGGAAAAGTTTCCCAAAGCAGTGATATTTGGTTTCGGAGGTAATTCACGATTTATATCACATTTGATTGAAACACTTTTATATATGAAATATGTTTTGCAGGTCTGTTAATACTGTACATAACAATGCCGGGAATGGGGTACGGGGTGTACGGACAGGACGTTCACGACAACATCATCGCTGATCTGCCCAACACTGGATTGACGACAGCTATTATATTCTGTTTTCTAATCCATTGTTACTTCGCTTTCCTTATTATAATAAATCCGGTTTTACTTGAATTGGAAGAAATGCTAAATATTCCCAAACGTAACCGTCATTTACTGTTAACTTATATCTGTTTGAATAGTATATAAATATTGTTTATTTATATTTAACTTAGATTTCAACGCAAAGCGATGTATATTCCGGACAGTATTGATGGCGGCGTTGATATTCGCGGCGATGTCTGTGCCGTCCTTTGGGGTAATCATAACACTGATCGGCGGCACAACCGTAACGCTCATGGCTTTCCTTATGCCACCATTTTTTTACTTCAAACTCTGTGCCGATCGCTCTGATAGTGAATGGCCCGAGAGGTGTGTACCATATAATTGACCATCATTTTGTGTGTTAAGATCACTATTATGTTTTATAATGGCTTATTTGGTATCGTGAGTGCATTTATTTTAAGCCTTATATATTGCTTTATAATTGCAGTTTATATCCATGTAATTTGTTTTTAAATAATGAACGTGTGTATTTTATAATTTTACCAGAACTATACCCTTATATTTGCGTATAATTCTAATCCAAACGGTAATATTGGGTTTCGTTGGCGGCATTGCATCGACTTATGCATCCATTGCAGGCCTCGTATCGCCGGACTCATCACTAGAACCCGCCTGTTATGTACGCCAAACATCTAAAACATATTTTTATCATTGATATTCATATTTTACATAATTGTTTATAGTTTGTTTTAGTAATTATTAATTTTTATTTAAAATTATTTATGTTTTTAATCATGATCACCAATAACATTTAATTAAATAACAAATACAATATTAATAAAAGCTATTATTAAAGTTACTATTTACTAATTAGTCATTATTAGATCCAACAATTATTAAGTTATATTAATTTATTCTAATTTTGATTTCAATTATATTTTGGTCTATAATATAATGAATTTGTGTCGAGTAATTAATTTCAATAAATTTGTATATATTTGTCTAAATTGTGTCTGAATTTTGAATATTATTTTTAACATTCATTGTTGGTACTACCAACTTGGTAGAATCGTTGGTATAATTGCAAATGCTTACAAATGTTAACATATTTTATATTTCCATTGAAAATGTAATTAAAAAATAATAAATAATTTTTAATTTTTAAATTTATAATTAAAAATATTCTTTTAATTAAAATCATTATTAATTAAAAAAAACTTCTATACTTATATTATCGCCATACTTGTAGTGCGAATAAAACCAATATGTTTTAATTTAATATAATTGCGTGTTTAACATTGATATAATATAAGTTATATTAACAATATTAGTTATATATAACATTTATTAATACAATAATGTTTAAACACAATAAAATACACATTATATGCATAACTATATGTGTTTTAGCATTAGTTGTAAGCACTGGATTGGCCCAGAAGTCCAAAGTGAATCAAGTGTTGGCTCAAAAAACAGTTGGCTATGAATCGGGTGGAGAAACGTTTAGATCGGATCAGAAACAGCGCACAGCCGTCGAGTCGATGTCCGATCTGAACGCAAGTCAAGGCCAGAAATCCATGTCTAAAAACAAAGTCGGGGGCAACAAACGCACGGCAGCGGCCGGCGCTCAACAACAGGACGTTTTCAATGATGGATTACAGGTCCAACAAAAGCAGAGGCAAAAATTGGATGGCATTTTCGGAATCATCTAGTTGACCACTAATTAGATAGTGCATGCTTATTTATACATGCCTAAATATTATATAAATTGAGTTTATTAATTAATTATTTAATAATCGCTTTATTTATATAAATTAATTTTAATGTATTTAAAAATATAAAATAAAATTGAGTTTCTGTCAAAAGTGTCGCTGTTTTCAAACCAATAATAGACAATAACACCGATGAAGACAGCGATGGCTATAGCGATGATATTAATGATCACTAATAGAGTCCAAACGGACGACTATGAGCTGGCACTGGAAGGGGACGCAGGAATGCATTCAATAATTGTCGGTTGGATTTATTCAGTGTTTGTATATTTAATTACTATATTAATAATAAAGCAAACGTTTTTGTATGTAATTAATTCATAAATAAAATACTTTAATATTGTTTAAATTAATAATACAGTCAAACGAAACAATTCATAGTCTCTAAACTAATCCATTAATTAATTAATTAATTTATACATAAATAGTAAATATAATCGTTTACCAAAATAAATAAATATTTCATTTGGAAATAACGTTAATTTAAATACAAATCTCTTTAAAATATTTATAATATTTAAATCCGATTATCATTTAAGAAACTAAACACAAATGTAATTCATTTTTAACGACAATTGATTATTGGCTGAGGAAGTGATGGATTAATACAATTGAGCCAAAGATTGGCACAACTCGTGTGGTAATCAAAGCCGGCAAAGGGTATGACCGGGCGGTCAGCGGTCGCCTTTGAACAGCATATTGTGCACAGACTGCCGGTGTTTGACGGCGAGGACTCCGACTCATTCATAACGCTCTCGTCCTTCAACTCAATCTAAATCACATTTAATAAACATAATAAATGAATGAATGAATGAATGCTCACAACATATGGTTAAACATAAATAAAATCAATAATAATTACATCAATGGATGCTTTGGCGAAGAGAGAGCCGATTGTATTCCACGCGCTGTCGATGTCATCGATGAGTTTCGTTATGTTATCATTCAATTTGTCGCTCGCCTTAAGACTTTTGTCCAGCCGTTTGACAATCGCATAGACTTCTAGTAAATCTGTTTTACAAATGACACAAAATTTTCAAAAATAAGTTAAAACTAGTTTTTGTCATCAAAAAAATTAATACCGAATGCAAATCGGAGGCCATTTGCGGCCCGAATGGCCTCTACGGCGCTGTCTTCGCCGTGGCTTACGATCAATACGTTAAACGCTTTGTGTATTAATTGACGACAAGTCTGTATCATCTGATGACTGACCGCTTCGACGCTGTCGTAGATATTGTCTTGATTTGGATTAAACTGAAGACTGTCCACAGAAACGGTGTCAAAGTTGGCGGTCGTATGCGATAAGAAATTGCCAAAGTCTTCAGCTTTCGGTGTCGTGTCGGACATGAGTTCCCGGAAAACGTTATACCTATCGGCCGATGAACTGGAATTGACCGCCGCTGCGGACACGGCGTCAAAGACACCAATAGAATCGGGACTCGATTCCAGTGTGTTTGGGCCCGAAGAATGATCCCAAGAATTCACTAATGATATACTAAACACTGGAGTGGGTGTCAGGTTTCGCGGGCTATTTGTCAACGACATTGCGGTGATATTGGAGGCCACGGCGTCGCTCAGCGTTTGCTTCTTGAGCTTAGACTCCAACTCATTGACCGCCATTTCACTCGAAGTCTTTGTCAAATGCGATTCAATTGCGTTAAAATCCGCACTTTTGAAGTCAGCAAAATCGTCATCAATAACATCACTGACAACGGATCCCATCATCAATTCTGTAGACTGTTTTGTGGGTAAAGGAGTGGCAATCGGATGAATATTAGAAGTGATGGGTTCTATGCGGACGTCAGCGGACTTAAAGTCATCGAAGTCGTCGTCATTCGTGGCCACGGCTTCGGCGGTCAAAGTATCGCCAAAATTGGGCGAAAAGTTTTGATCGCTTTTATTTGTATCAATAATATTGTGGTCGGAATGTCGGGTCTGCGGTACGTTTGCTGACGACTGCGGCTGTTGTCCTCCGGAAGTGGTGTTCACTTGAATCGTATCGTCGAAGAAGCGAATGGTCGGCAGAGGAAGGGAATCCAATTTGTAGATCTGGTCCAAAGGGTTGGCGCAGTTCTGCTGCAAGAGTGCGATTAACGCCAACGCCATCGACAGCTCCGGACGTGTCAATTGTCCCGGTATTGTCTGATTAACGACTGACCAGAGTTGGGCCAACACCTGCTGCGGGAGACCCACAGACAGTAATACCGGATAGAGTTTGTTTGTGTCGCAGAGATTATCGTTCAGTTGGACATAAGCCCAAACTCGTGAGTAAAGCGCCGGTGTTTTGGACACGTCTTCAAAACAATGCGGAAGTTTCCGGTGGACAGCGGCTGTCGGCGGTGTCACCACTGATACGTTATTTGCGTTATTCGCGGATCTGTTGGTGGGATTGGCGGCCGAAGTCATGGACTGCTGTTGATTGGGAGCGCTTTGAGGCAAATAAGTATTCGTATAATTATAGCCACTGTCGGTCCGATCGGTAAACAGTTGCTGAAGAATTGGTGTTGTCTTCAGCGACTGATTCTGTGGTGCGAATGAATTATAGTTATTATTATTGTTGATGTTGTGACTCATGTCTTGTTGTGATTGAAAAGTGTTTTCCGATCGGTAAACAGTTGCTGAAGAATTGGTGTTGTCTTCAGCGACTGATTCTGTGGTGCGAATGAATTATAGTTATTATTATTGTTGATGTTGTGACTCATGTCTTGTTGTGATTGAAAAGTGTTTAATTGATTGACATTTTGAGGCAAATGTCCGGCATTTGGGCCGACGTTCAGCGGTTGTCCGGCCGTCGGTGTCATCACTGGTTGCGTCGGCATTAATGGCCGGACATTAGGATACTGTGGAACAAATGGATGCGAAGAGTTGTGGTGAACGGCACTCGATATCATCGACACTTGAGTGCCGTTGAAGACTGGCTGCTGAGGAACCGATCGGTGGTGACTATTACTGAGCCGTTTGTCTAACTTGGCGTCGGTCTCCACTTTCTGTATGATATTCGCCATGAGTTGATCGGCGCTGGAAGTGCTGCTCACGGGATGTGTCGACGAGAAGGACATCTCCTGAAGACGTTTCTGTTGTATTTGAAACTTATAGTACTTTTCAAACTTCTTGCGTTCGTCGGCGTCGTCTTCGGCCGCCATCTGATCGCCCGTCCGCTGACTGTTTGTCCCGTGGTAAACAACGCCGTTAACACCGTTTACACTGCTTCTGTAGTTGCCGACTCTGTAGGAGACCACTAAGTAACCGCCGTTTGCTCGCGACAAACGCAAGTTGCTGACTTCTAATAACTACAAATCGCCGACAAATGGATCAGTCATTTGGTGCGATGGCTGGAGACACTCGAGTGGAGACAACTAAATACTGGATCCGCACGAAGAAGTGGAGGAATGTGTTGAGAGGACACCAGAGAGATGTGTAAACACTGTCCTAACGAACTGATCTAAACACCGATGTCTTGGACAACACTAACCTCTGCAGTGAGTAGTGAAACATATGGCAAAACAAATCCAAACAGTGATATATCTCCGAAGATGTGAATATATGTCACCTCAAACTGGTCTCACCTCTCGCTGTGAGTCATCTGTTGATGTTTTGACGTAAGGTTTGCCACAAATGACGACAACATTTGCCGTATATTTTTGCCATAGCTTTCAATGGCTTTACACGTGTATAACAAGTGGTTCACTATAAGCGGATCAACTCATGTGATCACCAGTTTCTTTGCCTGTAAACCGCTGTAAAGTGTTAGTACACTATACTGAGTGTTCATTATTTAATGATTAAACGATAGATGATTACGAAAACTAGTTATGATTTATTAATTTCAATATAAATGAACACAACTTTGCTAAACTAAATGTGAACTCTATTTGATTTAAACTAAGTCTGAAAATTAATCTGAATTCATATCTAAATTTCTAGTTAATTTATTGTCATTATTACTTTTAATATTAATATTATGGTTAACCCTTTGTTTACAATGATATGGGGGTAACACATGAGGGCATAACCTGTGCGCCGATTGGAGGCACCGGTACTTTACAATCACACCAATAGTTATTTGCAAACAATTAGCGATATTTACGTTAATTAGCGTTAAATGAGATGCAAACCCAGGAACAGAGCCCACTCTACCGGTGCCCGAAATTATACATAAAAACAACTTAAAAGAGCATTAATTCAAAAAACAATATTAAATATTAGACAATGAAAAACAATTTGTTAATTATTGATATAAAACGAGATGAAAAACAAGACAAATGCCGAAACCATAAAATAAATGATCGCTTTGACGCCTATGGAAGACACGGAGGAATGGTATTAATTGTACAGTTATTATCACCGGAATTAAGGCAAACAATGAAAAAGAGATATTTACGGAAATGAGACACAAGAAGACGACAAGAAGATAATAGTGTGAATTGAATCGGAAGAATGCGTTACGAGAAACAAAGAGGTGATTGATTTGTTATGATGTGTACTCTTATATTATCACTGAATGTGTTTTTGTGTGAATGTCTTATGAATGCCTACCATTGGACGCATTGACGCGCGAAGACTTCTTGGCCGACGACGACGGGAACGACTCGAACCGCTCGGGTATCGCGCGCTTGCGGTCCGACTGCTTACCACTCATACCTCTGGCGAATGAGTCGTTGTCGGTGTCGTCGTAGGACACGACAGAGCTGTCGGGCGCCGACCGTTGGCTATAAGTGTCGGCCACTTCTGTGCCGTCCTTCTCGTCGTCCTCTTCCTCCTCCGTCTCTTCGCCCAACACATCGTAATCGATGTCTCTCTCGATGAACACCTGTTTGTCGCCAATCATCAGCGATTGGGAACTTCCCGTCCGCTTATACGGCAAGAGTTTGAGGCCAAGAGAGCAGCCGTTGGTCTCGATCTGGCGAAGCATACGAAGCCGTTTGTCGGCCGCCTTCAGCTCAACCGTGGCGTCCGATTCGCGGTGTTTCAGGTCTTCGAGTTGGCGGTCGTCGAGGTCTGCGATATCATAGATGAACCTCTTGTTGATGGCGTGGATTGTGGCGTGAGTTGTGTTGATGCGGTCCAACTGATCCACGATCTGTCGGCTCAGGTCCAGCTCTCGCCGGGCGTCCGACAACTGATGCGCCAGACGTTTGGCCTGAGCTGTGTATGCCATCGGTGTGTGCGAGTGAATGGTCACGAGAGTGTCTTGGGATCAGATCCGGTGATCAATGCGATAAAACGGTCGATGTTTTGCTTTTGACTCTTATTTTGCTGTTATGTGTAAAATAGCGGTTAAACTGAGGGATCGATCACTCATTGCGTCGTTTGAATAAAAAGTGACGGAAAGATGTTTTGCACTCAAATATTGTGTATATTTTATCACAAATTGTTTGTATTTTTTTAAATTTAAAAGTTTGGTGTTTTTATTAATTACTGTTAGTTTATATTTAACTTAATTTTTTGTGTATTTTATTTATTTAATATACTTTTGAACGCTATTTACAGGTATTTAAGGCGTGTTTTATAAAGTTTTCCCACTTTTGGGGACCGTTTTGTAAGTTTCGCTGTTTTTTAATCAATTTTTGGTGTTATTTATTAATTAAATATAAAAATTAAGATTAAAGACATGTTTTGAATAAAATTTTCCACAAAATAAGCATAAAATAAGTGATAATTAAATGCAAAACAAAATCAAATCAAAAGCAACGATAAAAAAGTGAAACCCATTGCCAAAAGCCATAGACATCGACAACAGATGGCATTCACAGCACAACTCAACACAACAGCCAAACAATACCGCAATTGTCTCAAGACATCCATAACCCCAACACATCCACCGAAGACAAGGACAGCGCCAACAACACTGCCCATCGATGGCGAAACACCATCCGGATCTGATCTTCTGCCGGAAGCAGTCGGGAGTGGCGATCGGCCGCCTCTGCGAGAAGTGTGACGGAAAGTGTGTGATCTGTGACTCCTATGTCCGGCCGTCAACTCTGGTCCGGATCTGCGATGAATGCAATTACGGCTCATATCAGGGCCGGTGTGTCATCTGCGGCGGTCCCGGAGTGTCGGACGCCTACTATTGCAAAGAGTGCACCATTCAGGAGAAGGACAGGGATGGCTGTCCCAAGATTGTCAATCTGGGCTCATCCAAGACCGACCTCTTCTACGAGCGCAAGAAGTATGGCTTCAAAAAGCGGTGATCAGTGGAGGACACTACTGGTGGCACCACTACTCGCCCACCCGTCCGATCACCGCTTCTCCTATTCCACACATTTATTCCTCCAGTTGTCTCTCGTTTTACGTCTATCCATGACTTACTTATGATTATTATCTGCCATTCAATTGATATCCGAGATTAATGTCCGCGTATTTAGTGACCACTTTGTGTGCATTGATTGTGTATTTTATTTCTCATTTTACTATTAAATCCTTTTTTACCATTTAAACATTTTATTTACTAAAGATACATAACTAGCGATTATTTCTGTCATAAATTACTGTTAACTTATATTTAAATCAATGTAAAAATAGCGTGTATAATATTCGTTTTATATTACACTATAATTTATGTAGTTTAATATAATTATAATTTATGAATTAAAACAAATAGTATTTCATAGAAATTAACACTAAATTAATGTTTGAAAAAAAACAGTCAAAACAAAACCTAATAATGAATAGAAACTATTGGTATTGAGGGGTTTGGCCGCCAAAGGGTGGTCCGCCGGGCGGGCCTTCGCCCGACTGTCCCAACTGTGACGGGTCTTCGAGCGGATGAACGGGTCGGAACTGTTCGGACGAATACCTCGTAAACAATATACCCATGCCTTCGATGAGGGCCAGCAAAACACCGCCGATGACAGCCGAGCCGACCATAGCTCCCGTGCCGTTCCGTACGGCGAGTATAGCGCCGGTGAGAGCGCCGGAAGTGATACTATTCCACGGGTCCTCCTTCTTGCGGATGTGGACGAGTGTGCAGTCAATTG